GTTTTGTTTTTAAAATAAAATAAAGATAAGTTGGGCTTTTAAAGAGTTTATTTACTGATCGCGTTATTTTTAATAGGTTTGAATTTTGGTTTGTTTTATAAAAAAAGTTCTTCGGCAAACGGCAAAGGGAAAACCCAAACATAACATTTATAACTCGAGTTTAAAAGTATTGACGTCATTTATTAACTTGTAGTTATAAAATGAATAATGCGCTTCTGTAAATAATGAATGAAACTGTAAAATAATGGAAAAATAAAAACTGGAAAATAATGCGCTTTTGTTAAGCGCATTATTCAGACCAGTATTTGTAACTTACCTGAAACTTAACTGAAATTAAAATAAAGTTATATGTAATACGAACATTTTAAAGTAACTTGAATTAAATTTATTAAATCTTTTTTTACTTTGGAAATTTTATCATAAAAAAATCGCCTTTTCGCAGGTAAAATGCTAGCTGCGTAACGATTCTTAACAAGCCCTGATATATATATATATATATATATATATATATATATATATATATATATATATATATATATATATATATATATATATATATATATATATATATATATATATATATATATTTATTTATTTATTTATTTTTGAGTTATTTATTTTAAAAATGGTATAAGTCACCTATGGATAATAAACGTAACAGTTCTTTTGTGAAATAACTTAAACCAATTGTTTTAAAAATTATATTTGAAATTGTTGAATTAAGTTTGGAAGATTTTCACAAAGAATTTTATATATATATATATATATATATATATATATATATATATATATATATATATATATATATATATATATATTATATATATATATATATATATATATATATATGTATATATATATATATATAATTCTTTGTGAAAATCTTCCTTAATTCAACAATTTCAAATATAATTTTTAAAACAATTGGTTTAAGTTATTTCACAAAAGAACTTACATTTATTATCCATAACATGATTTTTTTGAAAAGGTGACTTATGCCATTTTCAAAATAAATAACTCATAAATAAATATATATATATGTATATATATATATATATATATATATATATATATATATATATATATATATATATATATATATATATATATATATATATATATATATATATATATATATATATATATATATATATATATATATATATATATGTATGGGCAATTCCATGTAAAAGATGAAAGAAAAAAAAAAAGAAAAAAAATATTACGCTAACATATAGTAACCTCAATTAACTTTTTTTTCAACTATTTAAGAATATCTTTAAGAAAAAAATTATTAAAAAAACCTTTTATCATACCTTAACATAGTTATAAAGTTGTAAGGGTTATATAAACATTTTTTAATGTTTTTATACAGCCCTGTTGTGAAGCGTTGAAAAAAGTTTCAGTACTGTGTTTTTAAATAACTATTACTTCTAAGTTTAAATTAAAGGATAAATTAAACAATATTCATAATATTTTTTTATAAAAACGCACTCTAACTAGGTCTATAAGAAGAATATATGAAAACAATACGTTACGACCGTCACAAAAAAAAGTCAAAAAGTTTTTTCTATGCTTTGTATCAAACTTTTTAAAACTACAACTATGTTAAAAGTAACGATAATAATACAAATTTTATCATTGTTTCAATTTTTTTTTTTTTAAAGTGCTTTAGATCACCTTTTCAAGGCGTTATTAAGCACGTTATGACCATCACAATATGTTTGTTTTTCCAAAACAGCTTCTTGACTTATATAAGGTTTAAGCTTGAACGATTTTATTATCTAAACCAAGTTAAAAACGATTTTATAATTTAAACCAAGTTAAAAATCAATTCCATTAATTTTCTTGTTTGTAATTTGTTTACTCGTTTTATTACAAAGCTCAATGAAGTATTTCTTGTTTATTTTTTTTAAGTTATAAGTAATATAATTTAGTAATATGATTTAAAAAATTGATATAAATTTTTTAAATCATAAGTAATATAATTTAAAAAATTATAATTTCAAACAATTGATGGGAAGAGTTTTTTTTTTTTCAAGAAATAATAACTTTTAAAGAGAAGGAAATTTTTTTTAGAATAAACGTTGTTTATAGTTTGCACTGCAATGTTTTTGTTCATTTGATTTCGCGGTTGTTGTTTTTTATTTATAACATTTCACTGGATTTTTTTAAATCAAGTTTAAATCTATAACAGATACATCACAACACTTTATCACTAACAGAAGCTGTCATATTTAAAAACATTTTAAAATGCCATAATTAGATGCCGAAAGATCGAAAGCTTATAGAGCAAGAAACAGAAATAATTTGTTGGAGAAAGAAAGAGAAGTTGGCGACAGTTATTGACACCAAGAAAAGAAAACAAACAAAAAAAACAAGCTAAGGTTCACAACCAAAGGTTAAGAATGAAAAAAAAATTGATTTCAATACTAGTGTCAGTTTAAGTTCTACACCTGACAATTCTTATAACTGCAAATCGTCAATGAGGCATTAAATAAGTAGTTAGTTATATTAACATTTATTTTTTAATAATATTGCTCTTGCATAATTTGAATTTTATATCAATCAACATTTTTAGGACAAAACAGGCTCTTCCAAAGTCTCCAAATAAAATACGAACTATTGTAGAGCAGTTGGAAGCTGAATATGGGCTATGTACTACTAAAGAAACAGAGCGAGTTCATTTTACATCAGAAGGAATTGAAAAAGTAAAAGCTTTTTATGAAAGAGAAGATATATCAATAATGTCTCCTGGAAGAAAAGATTGTGTTAAAATTAGCGGAGAAAAAGTTCAAAAGCGCTACTTAGTTATGAATTTAATGCATCAACTGTATTGTGAGGAGAGTGCTGGCAAAAGAATTAAATTAAGTAAGTTTTGTGAATTAAGGTCTACATACATTCTTACATGCAAAGACACACCACTTAAAACATGTGGTTGTGTTTGTCACAGTAATTTTACTTATTTGTGTGCTGCTTTTGCAAGTAAAATACCTTTTCCATTGTATTGCAATAAATGGTTAGAAAATTATGTATTGTGCAAGCCCCCTATGTACAAATGCTGGATTATGAAATGTTAATTATGTAGTGATAGCAAATTATTAAGAGTTTCTTCGCCCGAAAACCGAGACTTGGATACATCAATTACCTATAGTTGGTGGATAAAAGAAGATCATCGCTGTGTATTCAGTCAACATAGAAAAAACATAAAAGATGTTTTTAAACATTTTTGCGACTATTTACCAGAGTTTATCGAGCATCATCTCACTAAAAAGCACCAGTCTAAGCAATAGCTCAGTCATAAAGAAAACTTGAACCAGACTAAATTTTGGTACACTTCGATTATTCACAAAACTATACTTGTGATTATCAGGATGCTGTTTAAGCTGTTTATTGGTCGCAGTCGACTATTACCTTGTTTACAGTTGTAATTTACCGTTACCAATTAGAGCCAAAATCAGTTGTACTAATATCCAACGATAATGATAAAACAAAACGCTACACTACATACTTAAGTGAAATTTTTGACCTCTATTGCATAGATTATATAAAAAAAGTTATATTATGGAGTGATGATCCTTGCACTCAATTCAAAAATAGATATATGGCCAAATTCATACAACATTGCACTGTCAAATATCATTTTCAGAGTATAGAATGGAATTTCTTTGCTAACTTTCATAGAAAGGAGTTGATGGAGTAGAAGGATCCTTGTAGCGATATGTTTGGAATAGTGTAAAATCTTGGGAATTTGTCGTCTTAAACGCTAAAGACTTCCTTTTAGCATCAAATGGGTGCAAAACTTATGTTAGGCTTATCAACACTGATGATATTAATTTAAAGCCTTAATAGCCAACGTAAAAGAAGAAGCAAAAGCCATTAAAAATATTACCAAAATGCATTCCTAGCAAATAAAAAATGGAAAATTTATAGTTTTAAATTTTCTAATATTTTTTAATGTGTTTTTTTAAAGAAAATACACTTAGTTAAAGAAATTTACTTAATATAATTATTTATTTAACTAATATAATTATTTATTTAACCAAGCAGGAGAATAATATGGCATTAAGCATTTGTTGTTTAATCCAAATAAAAGTAATATGATCATACCCAGTCATCATTATCATACCCAGTCATCATCATACCCTGATCATTATACCCAGTATAAATGTAATATGATCCCAGTGATAATGTTATAAAGTGCATATTTAAACATAACTAACATAACTTATAAAGTGCATATTTCAACATAACTTACTTAGTTTTTATAATCACTCATCTTTTTCACGCCATTCATTGCCCCATGCAATGAATTCAATAAATGCACCATGCGCTTGGTTGTTTTTCACTATGGCATTTTCGTTACGATCGTCATGACAAAAAACAAAATAAAATTTTTGTAAAACATCAAGCAAAAATTATGAAACTTGGCATTTAGCAAGATTAATATGTAGTGAATGCTCACAGCAAAGGATTTTTTTTCACCGCATAGATGACTGCATAAAGATTGTCAAAGTCGATTTGTTTAGAATCATTAAAAAGTAAGCGTTACGACCGTTACGCTACGTTAAGACGATTTTTCAAATAAGTTGAAGATTTGAATACTTTAAATTTTGTATACTAAATTTTATAATAATATTTAACATTTCTGGAAAGTTTCAAATCAATATCATTTTTATTTGACTTTTAATAGCTAAAAGAGTGTCAAATGTTACAACCGTCACTTGCGTCACCCATATATATATATATATATATATATATATATATATATATATATATATATATATATATATATATATATATATATATATATATATATACAATCAATTCTTTGTTAAAATCTTCCAAATAAAATTCAATGATTTCAAATAAAATTTTTAAAACAATTGGTTTAAATTTCACAAATAAACCGTTTTATTGTAATCATTATTATCAATTTTTTATTGTAATCGTTGTTATCAATATCTTTTCAATAATTTTGATTTTAAAATTTTTTGCAG